GAATCCCATCCCACCAAATAGCCTGACTCCTCAGTTTTATTGACACGGTTAAGTTCCAAAGACCATGGTCCATGTGAAAATGGAGATTTCCCACATTACATCATAAAATGGAAGATGACTGCCTCACTAGCTGGTTACCAAACCACCGAGAATCATGGCCCAGCCAAGTTGGCACACAGCCTTCAACATCAAAGTCCACATCACTCTCGCCTCACACCTTGGGGTTTGTCACTGCCGGACTTAGGCTGCTGTGCATCAGGTAGTCAGACCGATCTTTTTACTGTGGCTGTAAACACACCGTGTTGGATAGCGAGAGACGCGGTCAGTGAGTAGTAGGTCGAATCTTCCACTCCCTTCGTTTGATTTGAGCTTTTGTTTGCTTTTCGTTTTAGGTACAGCCTTTCCTACATACCATATGCCAGGTAAGACTATGTATTTAGAAATACAGCTTCTGTCCTGGGTGGGGGATGCTTTACTTGCACAAGGCTTTCAGTCATAGAGTGCTTTCTCACGTTCTTATATCCTTATTCAAATCTTTGAAACAGGTAAGTGCCACCTATCCAGTTTATAGGTTAATAAACCTTTACGGCTCAGCACCTCTCCTGCTCCCTTCTCCCTTCCTAATTCGTCCTGCCCCCTCAACAAATTCCACACCTAATGATGGGGCAGGACATCGACCCGCCTTCATCAATTACAGGTGCAGTGAGGATTCTATTGCAGCATGTAGTCCACCTGTATGTCATCACTCTTAGTCTGTAACTTTCATTGTTTTTTTTTTTTTTAAGGCGAGTATCACTGAGCAAGAGATGAAGGTGAATTAGCTCATGTTTGTTGTCCTTCAGTATTGCCCCCGTGGAGAAGATTCAGAAAACAGCTTGTAGGGAAAGTTCTAGAAACCAGCTTGTAACGGAGAAGTAGGCAGGACTACGACTCTGGGGGCTGTATTTTCTGAGGAATGTCATGGAAACAGCCATTTGAAGGGAAGCCCCTAATAGATGGGTGATGTCTCGCCTTGTGATCCCCTCCCCGCTACAGGACATGCTCCTCTGCTCCCTTCATTGAGAAGTACCCCATTCTAGCTATTGCTGGTTCATACGAGGGGGAAAAGCCCAGAAAAACTGGCACAGGGTGGAGCTTGCATAGGACACATTTTTCCTGCTAGGCAAGCACTGAGCAACTTGCTCTGAGATGGTGCATTGAGTGGTGTTGCCTGGGAAGGTTCTCTCTGGTCACAGTGAATTTTTTTTCATAAAAGCAGTTTCCCTCAAACCTTGTTTTTTGTGATGGCTGATTTAAGAGAACAGCGTGTGGCTGTGAAATTTTGTTTCTTGCTTAGGAAAAATGTCACAGAAGCCATTGTGATGTTGAACAGCTTACAGGAACAGCGCTAGGGGGAAAACTCAAGTGTACGAGTGGTTTTCTTGTTTCAAAAAAGGTGAAATGTTGATTGATGACAAACTTCATTCTGGACATCTGTCAACTTCCTGAAGAGATGAAAATGTCAACTCTGTAACGATTGCATAACAGTGTGAGACAAAAAAGGCCTGATTTGTGGCAGAACATGGGACTGGTTTTGTCACCATGACAATGTACCTGCTCACGCAGCCATCTCAGTGCAGTAGTTTTTGACAAAAAACAGCATGCCTCTGTTGCCCCACACACCATACTCACCTGACCTCACTCTATGTGACTTCTTTTTGTTTCCACGAATGAAGAGGAACATGCAGGGACAATGATTTGATGACATAGGAGAGGTGAATAAAAAAACAAGGGAGGTGCTGTCAGCCATCCAAACATGATTTTGAAAAATGTTTCCAAGAATGGAATCACAGATTTGACAAACGTATTAAGTGTAATGGACAGCATTTGGAGGTGATAAGGTTGTTTTATAAAAATATTTAAATACATAGCTTTGGGGGGGCTATACAGTTGTTGAGTACCCTCTCATATGACTACAATGCCATTCCAGTTCAAGCCCAAAGAAGCCCCAAAGACTGGCACCGGCAGGGCTAGCTCCATGGATGGGAGACTGGTGTCGGTGTACCCGGCCTGGTGCTTCGAAGGCTCCCACACGTGGCTCAGTGCTCTTTGTCGCCATCTCTTTCACGTAGAAGGACAGGGTGCCATGGTCAAAAATGCTTGAGGTGCAGGTTAAGCAGAACGGGGTAGATTCCTCATT